GCAGACCCCCTCTCCCGGAACTTATAACGAGGCCGTCTATACTCAGCAGCGTCCCCGATCCTCAACGGCCAACCGTTGACCGCCGGTGAAGAGATGGGCGGATTCTGCTTGGGAAGCACCATCGTGTTGGTTTTCGAAGCCCCAAAGACGTTCGAGTTCACCCTAAAGCTGGGCAGAAAGTCAAGGTTGGAAACCGCATCGGTGGCATGCCAATGATTGTGGCGGTTCGCAAAGTGAAGATCGACTAGACGTTCCCGAATGCCCCCGCATTGCGGTCCCTTGCCGCAGACGATCTACCTTAACGCATCTTATGACAATGATGAACGTTCATAATACCCTCGCATAAATCACCCGCCCGCTGAAGGCGATAGTTGCAACGATGTGTCATTATGCAGGAACGCAGTACAAGTCCATGTTATACCAATACAACAAGATAAGTCTACATTTAAAGCACGGAAGATACAATGGCTACCAAGATCCCATACTGGGGCTGAGTTTGCTCATCAACGAAACAGAAGTGATCAGTTGACAAGTCAACGTACCCGAATGTTTCTGAGCCCTGTAGCTGGCGAACCGGAGTACCCATACCATCAGCAGTTTTATCAAATACCTTGATAGTGAACGCATTAGTCGTTTGAGCTGGTAGTTCAATGAAGAGCCTACCGTGTTACCCCACCAACGTTGCAAGCTCTCCCCCAATCTAGTGAAATTGTTTGGACGCTTTGTTAGCAAGTGTAGCAATTTTTTTACTTACCGACCCATTATGCCGGATATTGCAATCTATCCAGGTCGGTGAATGACAATTAGAATTGTGATCAAGTGAACTTACACGAAAAATATGAAGATTACGAAACAGCTAGCCCAGCATCCAGCGCCGCAGACAAGACATCTGCGTAACTCTCGTCATGTGGCGCGAGTACTGTCGGTGAATCCACTTACAATTGTATTTTGTCCACCATGCAAATTGCGCCTGTAAAACTACATCAGAAGCGCTGCAGATGGCTTCAAACGGGAAACAAACCTTCGTATAACATACTGGAAGATGAAACCTACAAGCCTGCGGTGTATCAGTAAGTCAATGCACCATATGACAACCACTGCGCACGTACGCCCACGGTACATAATTGAGCGCAGAAGCTGGGGGGATCTTGTTGGTACCGTTAAATATTAGTGGGCTATGGTGTACGATGTCATGCTGTCCGAAGGAATGATACCGTGGAACTTACAAACTAGTCAAAGTGTAAACCAGTCAGCAATTGTGATTGAGATAATGACCTACTTCATGTATCGTATAAAACTGTTTGGATACCGCTTCATCGCCAGCCAACCTATGATAGGCTCACTGCTCCTATGATGAAGAATACTAATACGGCTAGAAGTATGTCTGTAGCGTTTCTGCTGTCAAGCTAGCAAGGGGGACATACAACTGCAAGAGGAAATTCAGTCCTAATGGGATTAAGGGTAGAGTGGCAACTTACTGATATAATTGCCCGGAACTAAACAAACGTTGTGGGCCGATTACACCTGTCCGTCAGAGTAAATTCATCCTTTCCCCGATGCATCAATCTAATGAACGCACCCCAGAAGATGGATGCAGTGCCAAATACTTCCGTGTTAGGACAGGTAAAACTACGCGATGTTGAGTATAGATGTCATACTGAACATTCGAACATACCCGTCTTTTTGAGTGCTACTACATATGTCTCTGCAAGGGGCTCAGCCTCACCAAGCGGTCACCAACATTGACGCTTACGGTATGGTAGAGAACATCCACGATTGAACGCCCAATTGCGTGGTTCCAGCGACTATCGCAGCCACAATCTGGCACCAGAACATTTTTCGAGGAGGGATTTTCATGTAGTGACCGAGTTTGAAGTCGGACGTAAATGTCAGGGCTTGATACATAGTCTACGAGAGTTAATACACCAAAAGAACTGGAGGATGCGCGACACACAATATAGCCGAAGGTCTTGAACAGCATCATTGCTACCGGTTTGCCAGGTAGCGAATATCTGGATAGCAAGCTGTCAGATCCATTGATGCCATGAGCAAGCGTAGACTGACCCGATGATCAGCTCTGTAATTACGCTAGGTATATGTCTGAGTTATGAGAGATTCCATCTATATCACGTGACGCACTTCAACCCAATTTGCTGATTGGTGATTGCCTGTATCATACCGCATGGAATCACATAGGTAAATGCTGATGGGCATATGGATGTTCATATAACAACACTTTCACACAGACATCTTGACGACTCACCGATCAAGAGCGCTATGACAAAAGCCCAAACTGGCATCTCTGTAGGCCAAATCTCGATGCTGACGACACCCAATGCAAACATGAAAGCGAATAAGGACATGTACCACCTGGGGTGGGAATTGTATTAAGTTAGAATCCCTGTGTGAGAAGAATTTTTTGACATACCATTCGGGAACTTGTGGGTATCGACTCATAAGGCGAGCATGAATGTCTGCTTGTTCCTCCAGTGACCGTCGCGCTTGATACCAAATTTGCTTCCGAAAATGAATAAAGCAATGGACGATAGTCGCTAAGATATTTCTGTCAATCTGTGTCATAGCTATGGTGCATACTTCCTTACCCGTAATAGAGGCAAACGAGAGACTAATGAAAAGGGGTTTTCTCAACAGAAGCTAAGGTCGATCGCCAATTAGTGAACTTACCTATAAGACATCACGAACGCTGTTCTGTTATCGAAGTGGGTATATGACTGGAGCTGATAACGTGATCACTTACGGAATAAATATTGGACTGTACTCCTGGTATGCTGTCGCGTTGAAAGTGCTTTCTGAAGTCAATATCCGGGCGACATTGTATGTGTTCTGTGTGTTGTCGAAGGAGGTCCTTGACGAAATACTAGCAAGGATTGAGCTGACGTCACGTAGGGAGAGACATTGATTAGACGAACGGCATGTATAGAGAATACCAGGTATTTTTAAACTGCAAAGGAGTCAATTCGTCAGTCGTGAAATCTTTGAGGATCACTGACGTATAATATAGGTGTTATTATCCCTAGGATAATGGTTTAATACTGAGTTCAAATAAATACCTCAGACTCACAATAGAAAACTACAAAGCCAATAATAACGTTCGCCGTTGCCCACCCTAATGTTGACCAGAATTAGACTGAACATTGAAGAGATACTAGGAGGCTCACAAGGCACGGCTAGTGGTGACCCATTGTATCTGGACAACCAAGCTTAGAACGATAATAAAGTAGGAACGACCAGGTGCATACGCAATTTGGGCCCAGTCAAATGTTACCACGGACATTCCCTGATTCAAAATCCTAAGATCATGATAGGGGTCAAATAAACATCAACCTACCATGCCGTGGACGTAGCTAGTTTTCTCAGCGCATGGTACATGATTCTTTAGCGAACAAAAAGACGTACCCAAAGAGCTGTGAGACGACTAGGGGTTCTGCGTGAGTAGCATATCGTGGATCAGTGTCTCGAGACTCACCAGGATCGTCAGGCCAAATCCATGTTACCCAAGAAAACCACGAAAGGGCCTGGACTGTGCAAAAAAATTGACGAAACAAGGTCTTTTAGGGAATATTATGCCTTACACAAATAACCAGGGAAGAAGTCTAGTACATCAAAAAGTTAAATCAGACAAGAATGGGAGCTGGGGAAAATTCATACACCACAAGAATGCGCTCGTGAAAACATAGACGAAGAAGCGTTCTCGGCTTAAGCCGCCTAATCGTCCAATACCCGCATACTGCTCGGAGTGAAGAGTATTAAAGAGTGCGCAACTGACGAGAGTCGCGGGCCATATCATGCTTGGAGGCGACACAAGAAACCGTCGTGTGATTCCCCCAGTGGAGAAGCCAATTAGTTGAGTCGATATCACCAAAAACCACTGATCTGATGAGGAACAGTTCATGAGCATGCGCTCAATCCTGATAAGGCGGGTGGAAGACGAACAACTGAAACTGAATTTCTGATTATAGAAAACTCTTTGCACGGCAATAATGTCTGTCTAATTTTGGTGCTTTGAATGCATGCTTTGTGATACTTCGGGAAGAACTTACTGCATAAGCAGATGTCGCGCCCACCGAAGCCATGATCTATTGTGGGCAGATAGTGATAAAACAAGGCCAATAGGGATTTAAAGGGAGGACCCACTGTTATCAGCACGTGCTCCTTGATAGTGAAAGGACCAGGATTTAGTGAAATCCCCAAGATTTTTTTTCGAGGAAGATAGGCAGCACAAAAGCGGCCTATTGGAAACGAGAGTAGCTGAGCGACTATGCCAGTAATGGGCACGCTGGGATAGCGGAAGAAGAAAAACTGGTTGACGCCAGGCATGATAATTGCCCAGGTTAAGCCTATAACCCATGTACGAAGCGTTGTTGCATGTATGGACGGATCGTCTGTGTTTGCGACAGCGGATCGAACCTCTGGATAGGGCGACTCATCGTCAAATTCTATGCTGCGCGAAGGGTCGAGGTTTGGGTCGTCAAAGTCCGCACTATCATTGATGGAACTCCGAGCCTGTGCAGTCACGGTAAGGTATTTCATTTCAAATTCATGAAGGATGACTGCATAGCGCGCGAAAGGCAGACGTACAGTGAATGCAGAAGCTGAGAGCTCCGTTCGACTTCATAAATATGATCAATAAGGTGTAGTCACATAGCAAACTCACTCGAGCTAAGAGGTTGCACGTGGTCGTCAACCTGTTGATCCTCAGTAACCTCACTCTCGACTAGGTCGGCAGAGTTCTCGGGATTAAACTTTGAGTCGCGTAATTGCAAAGGGAATGACGGGGATTCAGAGAAGAACTCTGTGGGCATCGTCAAAGGTATGCAGGAGATGGAGAAGAGCGTTTGTTCGATGCAGGCTTGAGAGTTTTCGCACTGGCGGTGTAATTATGGAATTCATTGATAGCATTGGCTACGAGCCTTTATCGGTGGTATTACCTATGCGATTCGGCTCCAGATTCTAGTCGAATCTTCCCACATGGAAAGCACGGGTCGAAAGCTCGAAGCGGGCGGCCGCAAGTGAAGGTATCTGATCATTGAGGTAGCAACAGTCTTACTATACATTCTATTGACTACTGGTACTCGCCAAGTACAACACAAATAAAAGCAATAATACCGATGTGTTGTGATTTCCTTGTGAACAAAATGGCCCTGAGAATCTAGCCAAACCAAGTAGGTGTGCCAGACTCAGATCGATTGCCAGCT